AAAAAATGCAAAACCTTTAAAAAGCAATGTAATTTGCCAGCTGTGATTCACAATAAATTCCTGTTAATATTCTGTAACCTCCCCATGTCTTATACTGTATGATTGCAGCACTGATAATGTTTCACTTTCAACGAAGCCATCAATTACACAGTGGGGTGGTTGCTAGTAAACTAGTTATTTTCATTCTGGAGAATCTAGATTAGAGCCTGTGGTAAGAGATTAATGATGCAGCACTGCTGCAAATGGCTGCTGGAGGTTACACAAATGAAGACACCACTAGATTGGCTTTTTCTTATAATTAAGCAATGTTGCACAATGGAGTTAAAATGCCATTGAAAAGGATTAAAATATTAATGGTACAGTTTGCCGTAATTAGAGCTCATCTATCTTGTCACACAGATCTCTTTCTCCTTGAATATTCAGCTATATTGGCATTCAAGCTTACTCTGTGGAACAAAATTTGGGGCCTTCAGAAGCTCTCTTTGTGGGTTTTGCAGTGTTTATGACATGAAACTCAAGAAAGATTTATACATATCCTCACATGTGCATAATCATGGCATTTTCTTCCTTCCATTAAGGTCAACTTCTCTAAGGTTCTGCCTTAGAGAAGCTGAAGTGTGTGTCTGGCATCAGTAAATCTGATCTGCGCTGCGCCAATGCACTAAACACACGCCGACAATTCACACAGACCTTGGCTCAAGCACCACAGAAATCTCTTCTCTTTCAGTCCATCACCAATTAACATCCTCTTCTGATCAAAAGGCTGATGACAAGGTAACCTTTCAGCACAAGTTCTAAGTAACCCACAGCCCCTGCACCCTCAAGTCGCGGCTGCACCAGTCTCGACGCTCTCTCCAGGAGACACATGCAGTCTTAAAATGCTGGGTTTTAACTCGTTACTCTGAACCTAAGGAAAAGTAGAATAGAGGCATCACTTCCTCTACTCATCCTGCCAATGCATGTTAGTGGATCTAACAACTGACACCACACAACCTGTATTATTCCTCTATGCAATATAGATCTGAGGGGTCAGACTGGAGGAGTGATGAGGGATCTGGATTTACTCAATAAAACTCAACAATTTCTCCAGTCTCCCCAAAATGAACCAAAAATGCTGGGAGTAGTCCTGCAATAGACGCGCATCCTATCTAGGGGAGAATCATGCACTCTCAATTCACTTAATAGATCATACATAATAGAAACCGGGATAAAAGTCATCCAGACTCAATTACTGACTTGACCACAGAGGAAAACAGAACGCAAACAGAATGCTTCCTACTTTTCCAGGCCTTGTGGAAGGAAGGGTATAGTTCAAACATGAAAATGTCCCAACATCACGTGAATCAAAAATCTAATTAGTCTCTTTTCGTGCATTATATTTGAGTGATTTGTTCCACATATACTGTTGACATTTTCTGATGAAGGATAACTGTTTAGCATGCATATGGTGTGGCAGAAGAATCAAAATAATATCGTCTCCACACCCAGCTGCCAAGGGTCAACATGTTTCTGACCTGATTTTCTCACAAGACCCAGCACTTATCAGCTTTGTGGTCTGAGACTCTGTATTTCCTTTAGCTGTCTAATTAAGCCACAGCCAGCGGGCACACAGTCAGAATGCAGGATGCCTCCACTTCTTTGCCTTTTTCCATTGTGCGCCTTAATTCCAAAATGCTTCATTATAAAATGAGACTACAAAAAATAAAATCCAATCAAGTCAGGCGCTGAGCTTCAGACGATAAGAAAGAAATTTAAAAATAAATAAACAAGGGTTTTCCCCACTCAGCTACAGTACGTAAATGGAAGGTGACACTTCATACTCAAGCTTGACAGTGCCATGGAGTGCATAGTGAGAATATGAAAACTATCCCACCAACGAAGACAACAGCTGAAAACATTGTGGTTCAGGACATCAGAAAGTTTCTCTCATATGTATACCTGGCCATAAAGACATTTTTGAAATAGTATCTGTCTTCTTATTTACCAACACTATCCAATGATGGCGTATGTGGACCAAAGGAACAAAAAAACAATACAATTAAGCCCAAAAGTGACACGATAAAGTACAAACTTTCTTTGTTTTCTTTTTTTTTTTACTTAATTCTATCTGTTGCACAGGAGGGCTTTCTCTTGTTAACCAAAGAAAAGTAAAAAGAACTAAAGGGTCAAAGGCATGGAACTCAAACCAAGAACAAACATTTCAAACTGCTTTTCAACTCTTTTCAGCTTTTGGGTGCCTTATAGTGCTTTTTTCAAAAAGAAAAAGGTTCAGGGCTATAGCCTGAAAGCAATCCATGCTCTTTTAATCCAACCCTTTTCAAGATTACAAAGTCCGAGACAAAAATAATTGTTTATGAGATTTTTGTGGTGCTGCATTCAACATATTTACTCAGAACAAAATATTATCTTTTATGCAACAAGGCCATCCCATTCACCGTCTTGAATATTCCCTAGAAAAATACACTCTTAATGAGTCTCGGACAAACATTTTCTTTCCTCCTTTGCCTTTCACAAGGGAACAAGGTTCCCATCAGGATTGTGGTTCCAACTTCTCAGTGAGAACATTCCATAAATGACAGTGACCTTCTGATGGATTGCTTGACCCCAGCAGGTTTAAATGTCCTAGTTTGATCTGCAAGACCAGACCACCAGGGTTTCGTTATGAAATGGACATGGTGAGGTTTTCAAAACACTTCTTCAGTTTGTCAAGAAACTGTATTATATTTCATATCAAATATCAATATCCATGACAATTGTTCTTTTTATTATATTCAAACTGCATTCTTTAACATGCATGAGCCTTTTTATTGCAAATTGGATCAAGATTTGAGGTTACGTTTTGCTCTGAACAATACTGTTGTATGTACAGAAACAGACAAGCACCCAGTGTTCCAATGAGCAAAAAGCAAATCTAAACCCAAGTCACCTTCTGTTGCACCTGGGACCGCTGATGCAGTGTGCCAAGTTGACCCACTTTGGATGTATTCCTAAATTTTTTAAATTGTTAATAATTGCCTGCTATTTCTGCGATTACCAAAATATGTTAGAAGATTTCTCCTGGCTATATAATTTCTCCACATTAAAAAATTCTTCCATTTATGGTAATCATGCAGCTGAATACCAGATTAACTCTGAGAGAATGGAGGCTAGCAGACATACATAGTGCATTTAAAAACACACTTGTTAGATGCAGCACAGATTCCTTCAATTTTTGTCACTTTTTCCTATCCCCCATATTTCAACACTTTATCATAAAAGGGTTCATTAGGATTAGTAAGTATGGCATTGCAGCTGGAATATCTTTACCTATAAAACTGTTTCAAACTGCTAACTACCGTTAAAACCTGAGGAGCATTAAAGGTCAATAATTCAATACAACTGAATGCAGAAATGTAAAAGTACCTTCAACTTTATGCTGATGTACCAAATGTGCTCAAATTCATTTTAAAACATTAAAATGTTCTTTGAATTATGTGCCAGCGTTTACAGTCTATGTACAATGAATTACTGAATTATTCATTTGATCGTACTACAAGGGAAAAAAAATCCATACACATGCAAGCTAAATGTGTTGTGGTTCCATGCTTTGAAATCATTTGCAACAGCTCTCCTCTGCAATTAAAACCTATATACACTGCATTGCTGTGGCACTGGCTTACAGGAGAGGAATTAGGTACCTGCATGTCATCCAGGCCAGAGGTTAAGGTTTGACTTTAATGATGGTGAGACTAGTGCAAACTGACAGCAGGTTAGTTTTGGCTTTGTGATTCTGCTCCCACAGCAAACTTGACAAGACTCCCCACAGATCTCAGAAAACAGTCCTTTCTGTTATGAGTTTAATGGTACAGTTGTGGCATCTGATAGCATATGTGTTACTTATGCAGCTAAGCTTGGCATCAGAAAAACGAGCTGACAAACCAGGTGGTCTTAGAATGCAGCCTCTGCTGCACTATCCTGAGAAAAGGACAACGATGATCTATAACGCCAACCTTCAGTTCCCATAGTATATCGAAACTTGAGCTGGGTTAGGGACGTCAGACTACAATTCTGTAATATTGGGCTGCAGTAGTCAGGATTCAGGACTCACAACTCAAAAGCCGTGGGTTCAAATCCCAGATGAAACATTGCTTTCTTTTCCTTGAGCAAGGTACTTCACCCAGAAAACTGCTCCACACAAATACCCAGTTGTATAAATGGGTGCAAACGTAAGTCGCTTTGGATAAAAGCATCCTCCAAGTAAATATGTTATTTGTACTATTCCAGTATTTTTTAAAACCGTCTCAGAAAGGGCCAGCTCTGTCATCCACCCACTGAGCAAAATCTCAGCTAGCTAAAGACACTTAGGGCCAGAAAAAAAAAACATACAAATGCTACCATCATAGCCCGAATATGACTAAAAAGTTAAACAACCTAGAAGTAAATAAGAGTTGTTTTGTTACTTTATAAATAAAGCAAACTGTGCAAATATTTAACCCTCCCCAGGTACTTTAACTGTGGCTCCATCTGGAAAACATAACTCACTACGCATTTGCATTGTTTCATTAGTTCTGCGACTGTATATTTATCTAATTCAAATTCATAGAGATTTCAGTGTTGCCAATTAAATCCCTGCAGCGATTCAGCTGTTTCCATCTGATGGAGCAAATGAAAGATTCATCTTACAACCATTCACTACCCTGTTCTCATGTAAATTAGAGCCTAGACACACACAAGAACAGGCATGGCCCTCACCAACAGGCAGCCCCCGCCTAAAGCAGCACTTGAGCAGGTCTCATGGACAGGCTGCACTCAGATGGTCCCAGCAATACTAAGCCAACAGATTTCAAATTATGAAACACATCATTTCAAGGGTTTAAGCAAAACCTTTTTCGGGATTACTGTACAGCCAATGCCAAAATGCTGCAGACACGTCTTTATCAGTTACAATTGCAGAACCTGGCTCTCCATACAATTTGTTTTGTTAGAGAAAAAAAGAAAACCAACAAATGCATTATGCTTACCATTCTGGGGAGGCTCCTTGGTCTCTGCCACTTTTCTTAGGGCTGTAACAATTGTATCTCCGGGAATTCGAGGGCTTTCCACATATTTAGGCTTCCTGATTGGACCTGCAGTGAGAAAGAATTCTTTCTGGATTAAGTTTTTCCAGATGGGATTTGAGATGAGGAATTTGAATCTCCTCGTGGGATTGCACAGGGTTCAGCAAGCAATAAACACAGTTCTGAGGCTGATAACTTTTTTTTTTAAAGAGATGAACGCAGGCACACTTTCGGAATGTAAACTGTAGCAGGAAACCAGAGCAATTAGCTTCTTCAGAACTTTTTTTTCTCAGAGAGACGCAGTCCACTGTTCACAGAACGGCTTGCTGGAGACTCGCTCTAAACTAATGTGTATCTTTAGCAGTCCTTGTTTCTCTGAATATCTTCTCCTGGCCAGGCATCAGTTTACTACTCCGATATCTCTGCCTGGGAGACAGGGATTATAAACAGAAAGCCAATGGAATTAACACTCTTCAGTGCTTCAGCCTCACAGTCGTCTATCAGTGGGTATTTTATCCAACTAGTGACGCACACTTTGAATGTGGATATTTCTCCTTAGCAACTGTATCTGTGCACAGAGGGCTGCTGTGTGCAACTCTTTCCCCTTCTGGTGCCTTCACAATCATCCTAAGGTCACAATCCTCCACTCTACAGTGAAAGGAATGCCTCCGATGCCATTTTCTCAACTAACAGACTATCAATGGGCATTTCCATTTCTAGCATAAGCCTCAATACTTCAATGTTTCTTAAGTACTCGAAAATATTTTTTTATCAACTCCAACACTTCTTAAAAAAGCAACCGTCATGAACTTTTACTGTATTGATGAGTTAATCTATACTTTACTATAATTTTGGTATCAGTTGTGTTTAACTACAGTTTATTTTGACACGTGTGAAAAACTGATTACTATGCTAAATGAAAAATGAGGTAGCGGAAGCATTTACTCTGGAATTATATAATACTAAAATATGGAAATCTCTTTTAGATAAGAACAGCTGATCCTTAATTTTAAAATTCATTAATTTTAATACTGTTCAATATTTATTTTAATTACTCAACACCAACAGCAAATATGCTTTTGCATCATGCATACTCCCTCCTGTAAGAAACATTTGTGGAAATAAAATCTCATTATAAATAGGTATCGTGATGCTTTTTTCTCAGTCATTTTACAATGGATAATTACATAAGGACTAACAGAAAATGTATCACAATTACAGGTCTTACAGCCCATCAGATCATAGCATTTTCCCATATAGTAATTGATTCGATCACAGAATCAAGCTGAATTTGGAACTACAAAGGCAACAGTTAGGCATCCCATCTGTGCTAATGAAGAAATGATATTGTAGCCCTCCATGTTAAGAAACACTAGTAAACGGAGCTTAAAGCAGCTGCTTGATCTCTGCTGCCACCTATGGATAACTCCCCTGTAGAGCAAAGTTCAGTTCATGAACTGGAGCCTGTTGTGTTCATTCCAGTACTAGGAGAGTACCAGTACTAGTTAAGAACAAACTACTATTTTTTGTTCAGCAACCGAGTAATACATCGGAATGTCATACAATATCTGCCTTAGAGTAGTTTGTTTTTAAATGAAACAATGCTAAGATGCTAAAAGTGATAAGTCAAATGATAAATGCTAATCAAGTAGTTCACAAAGTTAAGCATAGGTACAATAACTGCAGCATATAAAACAAAGAGAAAATACGCCAAATATACAAACTGCAGGGACGACAGATTCATGCATGCACCCTTAAATAACGGAAAGCATGTTGTTATGAACTAACGTACAGCGTTTGCTTTTAAACTCACCGGGCCTGAGTTCAAGATAAATTCCTGTGCAAATGAAGTAGATTGAGAAATAAACCTGTGAGGCTACCACATGTCTCCTGAAAACACTTCTGTATCAGGTTTTCTTGTGATCCTCTATTAATCCGTAAAGGAGAACTGCAACACTATTTTTATATTTCGGGGTTAGAAAGTATAAGCACCGATGAGAGCAGTGCAAACCACAAAAAAGTAAGATGTACACAGTAACTTGTAAAGCCGTCAATTTACATCACAAAATAGACAAAATTTTCAAGCATGCACAGCGCCATGTTCTGCCATTCAGAAGGAGGCAACAAAACTTCAGGTGAAGAGGTGCAGCCCTATTTCATTGTAAAGAAGCAGGCTTGTGAATACATTTTTTAAAATCGAATAGCAATATTGCTCTCGATTTACAGATGGTAAATGTTAATTCTGCATGCATATCACACTGGAAAAATGTGACTAGTGAACATAAGAACCACACTACGTTGATATTCGTGGGAACTTGAATGCGAGTTTGCGACAACATGGCAGTACTATTACAAAATTCAAGATTTTGTGCTTAATTCGAAATTTGTCAAATTTGTCTTTAGGGTCAATTAATTTATTTTGTTACCAAGACTTAATAACCAGTCTGAGAAGTTGGGACTGCAGCTCCCCTGTAAATGCTGATATATCATACAATCAGAACAGTTCCATTAAGGCCCAAGTCACACAGAGTTCGTTCAAAATGGCTTCAAAGCATCTTGAGGCACAATATAGGCGTTGCAATGAGATGATGTGTGGATTTTAACCTTAACAGCGTTCCAAAATGTGATTTACTTAATGCAGAGCTGCAGAAAGTTGACTGTACAGAAGGAAGAAACTATGCAAACCCTGCTTATTTAACTAGTAGTTTGTAACAGAACTGCTACCTGTATAATGGAACAATCAGAATATGATGTGTTATGAGCAATGAAGAAATATCACTGCATAATATGATGAAGCTGGTTTATGCCAGTTTTTTTGTGTTCAAGGCCACATTTTGCATATTCTTTGATCACAAAACTACAGTATAAAAATACTGACTGCACAAGTAAGTTTTTTTGAAGACACGGCATTGTTTTTTTTAAATAGAAGCTATTGAAAACACATCACATCAGAATCATTTTAATGTTCACATGTTTTGCAAGTTTTAACAACCATGATAAGTAATGTACAGTGGAGTTTCCAAATACAATTCAGGAACAGCACGTGTGACACTTTTTCTCCAGTTTTGCACTGCTATACTAAAATTTTATTAATGGAACTTTGGCCACATCATACAATGACATTTTTGCACTAGGTAAGCTATTGCCTTTCTTTTCCCCAATTACCTTAAAGATAAATCACACATGCTCAATGAAGTGATCACAATGAATTAAAATGCATCAGCTACAAAGAAGTCCCATAGGATATAAAAAAATCATTATCTCAAATTCCTCTCTTCTGAGAGCAATTGGGAACCCATCCACATGACAATACAAATTAGAGCAATACTCGTTGGGCTAGAACCTATTAAATTAAAAAACAAAGCCATCACCAAAACCATTATTTTAACAGAAACAGATAATTTCAATTAGTTTCATTGGTGCTAGTAATAACAAGGTCCCAGGCATTGCTACAACACTAGCCTGCATGATCTGCATTTGAGTGCTCATGACCCCTTTTCTGAAAAGGACAAAACAATTGGCATAAGTGGTTATCAGGACAGGATTTTCTTTGACATCTGCAATATCACAATTCACACAGTGATATCAAATTTGAATGAAAACAGGGGTAAACACGGTGACTGAACACATCAATACCCGCGCAAGTAGACGTCCTGTAAAAAACATCTAAAAAACTGAATTCTTTATCCTAGGATCTGAGCTAGTGACAGGGATTTTTACAGCTGGAAGAGTACACAGGCCAGAGGATCAGAAGTGAGTCCAATTGAGCTGTGCCTCAGAATCTCAATCAGGATATAGCAACACTATGTGTAACAAGAGCCCAGCAGCAAGAGCACAATGGATCAAGACTACAGAAACTCAAGCGACCCTTGAAGGCCTAAAGTATTTGAATGATTTTGTGCAGCGGACGTTAGGACAATATTGTGTCAGCAAATGCTAACAAGTGAACAAGTCTCATTTAACCAAACAGCACAGGTTTCTCACGGTCAATCAATGAATAAAAAAAGACTGAAAACCCCAAGGCTTTAATTTTCTATCTATTCAATATAAATTTGAGAAAAAGTAAAATAAATAGATTTAGAGTTTCCTGTAGCACCCCATTTTTTTAATCTGCATATTACAAAAATGTAAATAGTGCATCAAGCAAAAAAAAAACTGTATGAAGAAATACACAAAACATACTACTTAGTAAAAAGCTAACATCTCACAACAGGAGTGCACAGTGTGATTCTGCAGAGTAACTAAATATTTTTTCAAAAAAAGCATATTAATACACATACTAAAAAGAATTTCATATATCTGAATTAAAAATAATTAAATACTCTAAGATTAATATTTTGAATGAACTTAAGCTTATGTACTTAACATATACAATTTTTAAAAAAAGACGTGTCCTTAAAAGACACCTTTTGGTGTAAAGCAACCAAGAACAGGGAACTGTTTGGTAAAAGCTTCAAAGCATTAAGAAGGCAGAGAAACTTCCTCAGAATCCTTTAAGCTCAAAATCTTTAGCCTACTTCTAACACATTTCTCTCCACATACACCGTACTCCTTATAAAACAAAGCCCTGCTTTCTGTTATTGGGACATGATTTTATAATTCAGCTTTGTAACATGAAGGGGTATGCGCTAAAAGTAAAGTCTTTGTGGAATGGTTTATCCTGCCCAGACAGCAGATATGGCTGAAGACGGAAACAAAACCGATTACTGCCAGCTCAATTCTTCTTTGATGTCTAATTAACCCTTCGGGACCTTGGGCTCCCAGAGAATATTGGGAAAGATAGCAGAAAAACAGACTTGTTGTTCCTCTGGCAAGCTGCCAGGAAATGGGGTTCATATTTTTACAGAACTATGTGAATGCTTTTTTTTTTTCTTTTTTTAGATATGTACAGATATATTAAGCAAAATGTATTCTACTATATGCTACGTGGAATATACATTAAAAACCTGGCCATGATGATTGTACCTTTTACATTACACTACAATTAAACTTCTAATTAATTCACTTAACAAGGAGATGACATGCATATGACATGGCTTTTTGTATAGGGGACGCCTTTCAACACCAAG